ACGCAGTCTTCATTGAAGGCTTCCTGAGGTCTACAATGAACACGATGCCTAGCATCATTCACATACAGGCAGAAAGCAGATTCATCTGACCAGACAACATGTTTCCCGACATGAACAGTCCAATTTTTGTGTCTCTTCACCCACTGTATCTGGGCAAATTTGTAAGCAGAAGTGAGCAAAGGCCTCTTGAATGCCACTCTGCTCCAAATGTTCATGGTATGCAGTTCCTTGCGGAGTGTTCTTTCAGAAATTGGTTGTGAAGGACCTGCACTGACTTCTAGAAGCAATTCTTGCCTGGAAGCGAATCGATTTTATTCACAAGCTGTAAAACACACAGACGGTCCCTGTCCATCAATTCTGACGAGAATTTCCTGTAAACTGGCATTTTTACAACTGCTGGTAGACACCTGCAAATTCATATACTTCTTTCACACTGTGGCCTTGGGCATGCCCAAATGCAATCACTCCTTTTTGCCACTCATTAACATCTGCTGTGCAACCCACTTTCCACACATCGAACAAGACATTCACTGCACTGTACCACCTCTTCTCCATCTATGTCAGTCTGTGGCGGCACATAACAAAAACACAACTGGATGAGCGAGAAACCCGACCGGCACCCTCTACATTAAAAGCCAGGTTAGATCAGGAATCACAACCCAAATGATAACATTTTGTCCTTTCAACAAAAGTCAAACCACCTTGGGAGCTGCAACATTTAATGTCCAGTATGTCTCAATATGTGATAATGTCCTAGTATAGACTAAAAAATATAAACGAAAACACAGATTTGCTTCGCTCTGCTTTAAGCTTCGCCTACAGCCGCTTTCCTCCCATCTCTGCCAGAAAACTTTTCCTCAGAAGTAGATCAGTTAAATGTCTCTCAATGTTCGGCTGTTTTACGAGGCTGAAGTCGCTTCTTATTCTCCAGCTTCTTGTTCGAATTTACCTGTTCCACCTTAAATTCTAACTGAGGCGCCGAATGTAAATGCGGCACCATTTAAGGTGGAACGGGAGAATTCGAAAGAGAAGCGACTTCAGCTTCACCACTTTTTAGTGTGTGACAGTCTCTTGTTGCAGATTTAACGTACCAGAAAACCAACTGCACTGCTTATAAATGCGAATAACGCATCGCTGCTATGTGACCTGCAGTCTGCATGCCAGTTCTCAGTCGAAACAGGGCTTTCGCACTATGCTGCACAAAGATACTTTACTGACACAGCGATCCCCCCGTCTCTACAATGAGACCAAAACTGAAGTTATAAAATCACTAAAGAAAATGGGTAGAATAGCTGTAATATGTGCCGCGTGGACATCCACTGCCACTGGATCTTATTTCACCGTAACTGCGCATTTTATCGCAGATGAGCAGCAGCAGCTTCTTGTGCTCCAAACAAGAGCACTGATTGAGAGCCTTCTAGTTCACATGCCACATCACTTCCATCTGTTTTATAAAAAAGATATTGGAAGTAAATGCATTATGGATCATTACAAATACTTTGCTTTAAAAGTACCAAGTCACTTTAAATAACAATAACACAGAGTTACTTAGTCACTTTAAAATGTATATTGTCTCTACATTCTGTACATATTTTGTGTGTATTTCATGTATATTTAATATATTTCAGTTGGTTTTTCTTGTATTTTTATTTTTACTTATTTACTTTCTGTAGAGTGATTACCTGTGCCTCACCACAAGCATTTCAATGCATAAATGTCCTGACATGTTGTGCAAGTGACAAATAAACTTGAAACTTGAACTCGAAACTTGTGCTCACACAGTGAGAAAATATAAATGCTATATAGAAAAAAAGATGCATCAAGATGCATCGATTATCATTTTATAATCGCATCGCAGCCCTCTGAACCGTAATCAAATCGAATCGTGAGGTGCCTAGAGATTCCCATCCCTAATTAGCAGCATCAATTACCTGTATCATACAGTAAAAACAACATATAGCTGTGATTGTTTTGAAATACTTAATAGAAATATGAATTAATCTAACTTTCTTAAATATTTTAAACAGTTGGCTAACATTTGTGTTATGTCCTATCCCTTTTTCCTTACCTCATGTGAACCTAAAGTTGGCTAGCTAAACTTGATAGCCAGCAATATTGACCAACTTTGCACAAACCCATATAGTAGGTAGATATCTTCACACTGTTACTACTCACTGATTCAGACTGTACATTATATAATTTGAACAATGCCTAATCTTTAGTTTAGTATGCTTTTTAGCTAATGTCCTGTCACAAGTGGTTGCCGACTGACGTTACTTCACAGGGTGAGCAGCACCAAAGATCCTCCACCTGAGCCCGTGTTACACTTTTCCCAAAGTATAAACAACAGAGGATTGCTGTCTCCTTTTATGTTAGAAAATCAGTGGCAGCAGTGCCAACTTAGTGTTGGATTACAGCGGCAGCGCCTCACACCCTGCTATATTGTGAATTTGGAGACAGTGTCACTGTTCAAGAATAAGGATAATCCAAAATACTACTAAAGATTTGAACTAATAATGCACATTCATTGAGAGGGGCTAAATAATATTTATCTAAAACTAGCATAGCGCAACCTTGATTAAAGAGTCAGATTTTTTTTTAAGTTGGAGTCATAGAAACCAGATGTCTGGTGAGTTTAACGCTTCTAAAAGCTCCATGACAGAAAGTTAGTTCATAAAATGGTTATGGATGAACTGCCTGATGTCTGAGATCACGTTTTACAGCAGATTTGTTATAAAGTTTTGGTTTAAATCAATTTATCTTCGTCCATTCATAGTAGAACACATGAAGGGTGTTCTAAGGCAAAATAGTCCCCAAAGACTTGACCATTATTTCACCATCATCATTACATGTAAAAACTCAGTAGGTTAACTGTTGCTTTTGGATGTTAAATAAAATGGTTTCATTTGCACTGTAGACATTGGGACCCCTGGTTCCTATCACCACCACTGTAATGAAAGAATCGGTATGTTTCTCTGTAAATAAATCATTTCACACCAAACCAATCTGAATTACTTTGTTTATATATGAACCACTGAATTATGTAAATATTCTGAAAAATTAGTGCAGTTCCCCTTTAAAGAGAAAATTTTAAAAAAATGAAAAAAAAATTTAACCATTGCTATAACGGTTGTAAACTCTCACGCAAGTCTCTAGAGCAAGTTTAAAACCTAGGAAAATGCCCATCTGGTGACATATCTTGAAGGTGAAAGAAACTAAAAAAAAAATCTAGTGGATTTTTGGGGAGTGGGACATCTTTTCCCACTACCTGGCAAATCTAGAGGGAAGCCAGATAGCTTAAGTATACTGCCAAAAAGCTGTTTTTTCCTGTGGTGTATTAATGTTTAACATAGTTTTCTGGAGATACAGTGAAAAACAACACATTTACATACTTTGCAGAGCTTATATTCAGAAAGATAAGAGCATTCATCTTACTCATACCTAGACAAGTATTATCTAGTATACTAGTCAATCACTCTGGCTTTAGTATTCATCTCTTCATATTTTCTGCATCCAAGTACGCTGCACTCCACAGACATTATCCAATTGAACTGTGTCTCTGACAAGTAAAAAGCTATATTTTTGACAATCAAGGTAAGAGTTATACCAGTGCTATCTTAGTTGTCTAACCTATAGATCATTGGCTAGGCTAGCAGTCTGGATTAGTATTGGTGGAGGTATTTATTTAATGCATGCTGGGTATTGTAGTGAAAGAACGAAAACATGAAATTCTTACAAAATTTAACAAAAGTGAACTCTGTCAAACTGATGAGGCCGGGAGATATAATGCTGTGCTACGGAATACTGCATAACACAACAAATAACAAATGCTAGTTTTAGACTGGAAAGGGCATTTTAACACACATTGAAAAAGTTAATTTCTAGTTTAAGCTGAAACCACTTCAGTCACACTGACAGAAACTCCTTTCTTGAATAATAATGCAAAACCTCCTTCAAGATTCTATAGGCTAAAAGTTTGTGCCTTGGATAACAGGTCCTGTTGAGGTCCTTATTGAGAAAATCACTAAGCCAAGCAATTTACTTACTTCCATTGCTGAAATCACCAATATTAATTTGTTTAACTATTGTTTTACTTCAGAATCATTGAGTAAATGTCCGATTGACCATAGTGGTCAGCTGTGTGGAAGACGGTGGTTTGATATCTTGCTCTGAGTCGAAGACTTTGGCGAATGAGTGTCAGAGAGACACTCGTTCACCAATTTTTTTTTTTCCTTCTTCCATCAGCTTTTTTCCCCCTCTTCCATCAGCTACCATAGGGCATTTCAGATATCAACTGCTCATCTCAAACAAGACAAATATGAGCAGAACAAACCAAGTCACTTTTTTAAAGGCCATTTTTTTTTGCCAAAAACAACCTCTCAAAATTAAATTTCAGATCTGCCTTTAATAATGAAGAATGTCAATGTAATTCTCATCATTTGCTTTTTGCAATAGATTACTTTTTTCCATGTAACTATCACAATACTTAACATTACTGTAGAAGCAATCAGGATCAAGGATCAAGATTTGAGCACAATATTTATTTGTCCCTTTTCCTTGATAAGGTTAGGGTGCAGTCATAGCAATAGATTATGTATAGAAAATGTTTCAGTAGAATGCTAATAGAGAAAAGTCCCTCAGGGTAACATCATTCTGATTCTGATTTCAAAGAACCTTTGTAAATTTAATTAATAAAGTAAGGTTATAAAAACTTGTAAAGGCCCCCACAAAGTCATAACAATATTCCAACAATGAACAAGTAGGCAAATACTGGTGTATATTAATTATATTAAATATTTAGAGTCTAATGTGTTTATATTTGTTTTTGTTATTTGTTATAATTTTTATATATTTTTGTATATAAGTATTTCAAGGGGGCTATGCACCTAAGATTTTCACTCACCTTCGCACACTTTTAAATGTGATGTATCAATAAACGTGATTTGATTTGACATCTTTTTTTAAAGTTTGAAATCAGTCATACCAGTTATACCACATACCAGTTACCCGTGTGGTCAACATCCACATCTTCATCCTCCTGCAGATTCTTGACTGTGAGGCCACCATCTGTGAGGTAGTCACATGTCAGGTTAGCCAAGCCATCTGCAGCATCCAAGCCCTCTACAAAATGGATGCGCTGAAAGTGGCCAGTAGAGAAGCGCAGATGCAGCATGTGAGTTGTCCCACCAGAAGAAGGGGCATCACCAGCCTGCAGTCGAGGGCTGGCCTGCCCCTGTTGCCAAGAAAGAGGTGATGAGCGGCTGGACAGGCTGGAAACACTGGGGGCATTGGTGTCATCACTGTCGTAACACATGGTGCTCTCCTGACAACTGGAAGGAAAGGAGTTGGTGAATTAGGCTAGTTAACTTTCTTCTAATTCAACCTGTCAGCATAGTTTATGTGCATTCACAAAAATGTGAAATGGATGTGGACAATTGATATAATGTGCATTTGATGAGTCCTATATCGGTCATTGGGGATTTCTGAATTTAAGAGTGTTGACAATGGCTATTTTTTTTAGTGGCTTGTTTTCATCATAAAGTATCTGTACAAGAAACTATTACAACTGTAGGCATATAGCTATGCATGTGCCTACAATTCCATTACATTAGAACAGACACCATCACAAAGCAGGTTTACAGAAATCTGATTTCGAGCCCCAAATGAGAAAGCCTAGCATGACAGCAGCAAGAAAAGACTACTTAGGAGCCTTAAGGAGAAATTTTGAGAGGAATCAGGATGCAAAGGGGGGACCCATCTGGCTGGTTATAACTGCATAGCAAAATTACAACAAAAAATTGAGAATCATGAGATTTAAGAGAATAGTCAACCTAGCACTGAGGATTTCTCCTATCTTTTCAGCACTCAGTCTGCATGCTAACAATAACTGAATCAAGCATACAGAGAGGCCAACCCGGACCACTTATTTTTCAAGCCCTGAACAAAGGCACATGGGCATCTGTGTAGAGGCACAAGACTTCTGAGGCACACTTTCAGTTACGAACTGTTGAAGATCTAGAACACTTTCCAGACAGGCCCGGATCATTCCATGGGTGATATGGGTGTGCGCCCACGGGCCCAAGCTATTAGGGGGCATACAATGGTGACAAAATTCAAACAGCTGTTTTAACTCGTGGAGGGAACTATGCTAATAGAACAGTAAAAAATGAACTGGGCCTGGGGGACAAATATAAAGCAAGACCTGATACTTTGACAGAGAAGAGGATGCTCATTTTTAAAACCAAACACAAATAAAAATGTCAGCCCCACGAAGACCACAAACAGAGCTAAGCTTGGAACTCACTTAATTTATTATGGAACCTACAAACTCAGCTCAGTTCTCATACGCAGCCACGCCATGACATAGGTGTACATGAGGTGTGTGTGACACAACATTCCTCCCTTCACAGTCTAGGAATGTTACTTCACAAAGTCCCACCTGCCCCCGGGCCTGAAGCAAATGTGGGCTGGGTGAGGCTCGGATGCCGCCTCAACGACAGGGACGGGCTACCCAACCGCTGGCAGAGTAAAAGGGTCCAAGAGCACTGAGGTTTCGTGCTGCATGGGTGGCACGATTTCGGAAGTGGATGCACTCATGGCATGACAGTGGGTTCCAAAGTTTGAATGAGGCTGGACTGAGCCGTTGGCTAACCTGGACCGCCTCTGACCAAAACGACAGAAGCTTGTTGTCACGGTGGGGCCACCGGATACTGACCAAGTCGGAGACAAAGCAAGATCTTAAATTGAACAGACACAGCACTGCAGTTATGAAGAAGGCAGCGTTTGTTTTTTCTGTGACAGCTCAAGAAATTTGGGCTGCATCAAACATTGCCGGTCCAGTTCTACACTGCCATTATAGAACCCATCATCACATCTTCCATCTCTGTCTGGTTTGGCTCTACATCTTCGCACGCAAAGTGGAAACTACAGTGAATGGGGCAATGTGTAGAGAAAATCATTGGATGTTAGCTCTCCACCCTCGAAGACCTTAGCTCATCTAGGATGATGAAGAGTGCAGGAAAAAAACATTGCTGACCCCTCATACCCCGGTCACTCTCTCTTCCAGCAGTTTCCATCTCACCAGAGACCAAGAGTGAGAACCCTCAAGAACTGGACTCAGCTTCTTTCCCCAGGCCATCATCCTTCTAAACAAGGACACTTCTCACATGCCTCTGCTTTAAACAGCTGAACATGCAATTTATTACACACATTGCAGTGCACATATGTACTGTCTATTGGCATCATCCTGCTGAATAATCATATATGTGTGTGTACGTATATATATATATATATATATGCACACACACACATACACACACCCATCAGGCATAACATTATGACCACCTCCTTGTTTCAACGCTCATTGTCCATTTTATCAGCTCCACTTGCTATATAGGTGCACTTTGTAGTTCTACAACTACAGACTGTAGTCCATCTGTTTCTCTGCGTACTTTGTTAGCTCCTTTTACCTTGTTCTTCAATGGTCAGGACCCCCATGGACCCTCACAGAGCAGGTACTATTTGGGTGGTGGATCATTCTCAGTACTGCAGTAACACTGATGTGGTGGTGGTGTGTTAGTGTGCGTTGTGCTGGTACGAGTGGATCAGACACAGCAATGCTGCTGGAGTTTTTAAACACTGTGTCCACTCACTGTCCACTCTATTAGACACTACCTTGTCAGTCCACCTCGTAGATGTAAAGTCAGAGACAATACCTCATCTGCTGCTGCACAGTTTGTGTTGGTCATTCTCTAGTCCTTCATCAGTGGTCAGAGGACACTGCCCACAGGACGCTGTTGGCTGGATATTTTTGGTGGGTGGACTATTCTCAGTCCAGCAGTGACACTGAGGTGTTTAAAAACTCCAGCAGCATTGCTGTGTCTGATTCACTCAGACCAGCACAACACACACTAATACACCACCACCACATCAGTGTTACTGCAGTGCTGAGAATGATCCACCACCCAAATAGTACCTGCTCTGTGAGGGTCCATGGGGGTCCTGACTGCTGAAGAACAGGGTAAAAGTGAGTAATACACACACACACACACACACACATATTATATATATATATATATATATATATATATATATATATATATATATATATATATATATATATATATATATATACACACATATATACATATACTGCTCAATTTTTTTAGCTGTACATACTGTATATGTACCTCTGTACTGTAGTACATGATTTTATCTGTACCCTCCCTCTCTGTATCTCCCACTGCACATCCTATTACTTGCAGTTTGTTTGTGTGATATTTTGTTCATATGTAGTTAACTGAATTTAATTTTATTTTGACACTTGCACCAAAAGAAATTCCTTGTATACATAACAAACAGAGGTTCTGATTCTGATTCTGATTCTGATCAGTATTACCTCTGAAGGTTTACTATAAGATGCTAATCGATATGCAATGCTAATAGTACTCACAAACAGAAAGATCAGATCACATTTTAATAAAGAGCACATTATGTTGTAGATTCACCCTGAAAAATTAAAGTAGCTCTGGGTTTGGGTATTCTTATTCAACGTCAAGTATTTTACATACACATTTTTCAAATGTAGGAGGGTGAACTGATTAAGAGGTTAGTTGAATTTTCTCTCTCAGGACATTATCATCCTGTCTGAGTTAGCACTGTTTAAATGTTTATGTGCATGTCTGAGGTTTCAAATAGTGTATTAAATCAAGTCAATTATCCTAAGGCTTCACCAGGGACACGATTACAGGAAAATAAAATGCTAACAGCACTAAAACTCTTTATGGACACGTGCACGAAAGTCAGAGAACATAAACATGAATCTGCTTTAAGAGCTTCTTTGATGTGTGTCAAGTGTGCCTTATGCTTTGCGTAAGATAAAATATGTGTGTGGTATTTAAAGAGGGGGTGAATGAGAAAAAGTAGTAGTAGTAGTAATGTGTGAGTTATACGAGAAGGAGTAACATGTGGACACATAGAAGGACATGATGTTTATTGTGCAGAACTGCCATATGAGTCTTTGTATGTATGTCTCCTTTTAATTCCTTACTTTCAGCAAATTATGCTGGCAGTACTTGAACATGAAGAAAGTAAGCATAACTGTGTCTTCCTCAATCAAAACACCTCTCACAATCTCTCCCTCACCAAAGCTTACGTTGTGCCTCCTAGTGGCCTCAATTGTCAATCGCAACTAACCAGGCTACTTCATTAATCTCAAAACTCACTATTACCACAACAAGTCATAGAAGCACATGGAGCGATTCTCATTTGACTGAGCAGCCCTGGAACAGTGGAACAGATGCAGCAATAAAGGTCCTCTTCACCTAGACAATATAGTGGATGCCACAAAAAAATATTTACTGCCCATCTCAGTTAACTGACCCGACTTCCACTGAGCACAAATTTCACTTAAACAAGATAAAGCTAAAGGCAAATGCCAATGAAACAAGCAAGAACTGTAAATGCATAAAAAGCATGACAGAACATCAGTAGGGAATATACTCAGAATATAATGATGTCTGTGGGTGGCAGATGTCAGGCTAGCATTGATTGTAACTAACTTGCAACAAAGCACTAAACTTGATCATTATATTTAAGATAAAGGTATGTTAATTTGTCCACTTACTTGTGGTCCACTGAACCATGGAGGAGGTAGGGCTACATATAACACCCTCAAATTAAAGGCGGCAAATGATGGGGTACAGAGTAAAAAACAAAAACTATGACACTGTCCAGTTCCTTATACAATATACTGCAGTCTATAATGACATCAACGACTACAACTAACTGCCAGCTATGTAACTCTACCAATCAACCACTCAATCTTGCCTCCTCCCATAAGCCCAGTAAAGTAAGAACTTGAACTAACACTCTACCTGCAAAACATTTCACTTGACTGAACAATGCAATATAAATTAAAAAAAAAAGAAAGGATGTATGTTTTCACATCTGCAGCAACCATCACAAAGAGGAGCTTTAACAATAAGACTGGCTTCCTGTGGCCAATACAAAACGTGCAACCAATTACCAGGTCCAGCCTTCCAATTACTGCATAACAACCATTGCTATCCTCAGTCAAGCTTTGAGTTCTTTAACAGCGTGCAATTGCTTCAGACCCTGATAGAGTAGAATTTGTTGTTCTCAAACCATTCCTAAAGTCAGAAAATTAAATAAAACAATTAATAAAATGTCAGCTTGTCTTAAAAACAGTTTGAGTCATTGTCACCTCTGGTCTGTGAATTTATTCACAATACTAAAGTAGTTATATTGAAATGTTGAAGTAAATGTCCACGTGTGCATGAAGTTATCAAAAGACATAGGCTACGTTCAGATTACAAGCCTCATTGCTCAAATCCGATTTTTTGCTCAAATCTGATCAGTCTGACATGATGGTTCACACTCGTTTAGGTAACTGATTCAAATCTGTCATTAATGTTAACGAACTGGCATCCCGGAATGACCCACACGCGCACATTCTACCCAGTAGTCACATGAACAAATCACGTGCATCATCAGAAACAAACTAACAAGCAAAACAAGCCTTCGCTGTGAAGATAATTAACTATCAGATAATTAGCTGTTCATTATTGGAGCGAGACGAAGGTGGAAAAGGTGAGATGTGTTGCTTTTCCACCATTTACAGACTTTAACTTCTGTTTGGCGCCACTGCCATGGTATAGCTGAATGATGGCGCACGCACAGTGGATCACATGAATTCTGATCTGAGCATTCTCATTAAGATCGCATGGCCAGAGAACTTACCACTCTGTAATGTCTTCCGTGTTTTTCAAACGCTAGAGTGAGCTCCTGAGCGAGTCCACAATGAATGCGTTAAGATGGAGCATTTGAGCAAAATCATAGTTTATAAATGCTTAAACATTTTTAATGTAAAAGGATGCATTAACTTCCTGAACACTGAACAGCATAAAACACTTTAACACTGCTGTTATATTTGTAAGAGCTTTTAAACTCGAGTTATAGGAGTTTAAAACGGCGCCTCATGTACATCCATGACGTCTGTGAGCGCAAACAGCCTATGAGCTGCTCCGCTCACCAACCAATCAGCACTCACTAGCAGTAATGCCAGCATTGTGCTGTCCAAGACCCGTTTGCTGTAGAAAAAAGGAAATATATAGGCAAGTTTCTTAGTTTTTTTTTTAGTGAAATACATCCCTTTACTTTCCAAAATTAAAGGAAAGTTCTGGTCAAGTGATGAGAAACTATTTTAACTTTTCGTTTTTAGCCGTTGAGCTCCATTTACTCCCATTCATTGAGGACTCGCTCACGGGCGCCCTCTGCTGTTTTGCAGTCCTCTTTTTGATATAACAGGGGTTGGGGAGGCCAGGCTCCTCATAAACCGGCTCTGGCATGGCTACGAATCGATCGTATCCGATCTTAGACCACATATGAAAGTGGCTCAGGTCGGATTTTAAAAGATCAGATTTAGAGATCAGTCCAAATCTGATCTGAGTCTCATTAGGGCAGAAAATTGGACGTGTATCACTGGTAATGTGAATGTAGCCATAAATGACTAAATTCAATTTTTATGGTCAGACTGTCGCATTTGCTTGCATATGCACATTGGTAGCCATAGCAACAACTTATGTATCAGTACACTGACTAGGGAAAGGCAGGCAAAATGTGGCCAACCTGTTGCATTTATGAACTTAAATGTTGTCTACAACATACTACGACTAGCAAACCAAACGATCAAGGTAAATTTTACTTCAGATTCACAATTTTTGCAACTATAACATGTTCAGAACAGTAATATTCAGAGACAAGTTTAAGTTGTGTTACTTAAGGTATGTGTTACTTTGGATGACAGGAAAAAACTGAGTTGCATATCCAGCAATCTAATTTGAATCAGATTTGAAACCACATATGTGTAGGTTCAATCTGACTGGAAAAAATTGCACATGGGTTTTTGCCATTCACAGTGCAGACAATGAATTTCAAAATCCATTGAAATGGAACAAGCTGTATTATAATATGGGAATGGTTTATACAAACTAGGCGTAATCAAACTCTGTCAATCTTTTCCTCTGTATCGTATGTTGAGTCTCAAGACCCATTCTCTTTCTTTCTTTCTGTCTGTGTCTACTTCATTGTTACATAATAGACTAAGGATAATCCATCTCATGATTCCAGAAAGCTATGAAATTTGTAGGAAAAAGGTAAATATAAGTGAGATAGTGGAAGGTGAATGACCAGGTTGAAATGAATGAATCTGTTGTACTGAGAAGAAGCACACATCTGACTGGCCTTAATTAGCAATTTCCTGAACACAAACATGGTGATGTGATGCAGGTATGCCAAAAAATCAGGTTCCTGTCTGAATAAAGCCTCTTCAAAGAATCTTCTTTGTCTTAACTGACAAAATCTGACATTCAGATATTCATCAATCAATGAGAAAATGCACAATCCAATGTAGAAAATGTCCATTTAAATCTTTAAAGCTTCCTCTGCTGTGGCTCCTAGCATCTTCCAGGCCAATTAGTTAGTAACGGTCTCACAGACAAGATTACCGAACAGAGGGAAGAACATGTCATTGCTGACCATAAACAAAACAACAAATATTTACTTTGCCTTTAACCCTTCTGTTGCCATATGAAGGCTAAAGCAGAGAGCTAGTAGCAGTTTTACAATGATCTGGCTATGTTTTGAGTTGTATTTCTGGATTGTGGGATGTTAGAGCTGGTTTCTCTCACTCTGGCTAGTGATGGTAGGTTCCTCTGAGTGTTCTGGTGTGTGAATCATGTCACTACTTTTAACCCTTTGTTTAAAATATGACTAGAAAGAGACTAGAAGCAGAGATGTAATATAATAGTAGCAAATGGGGTTTGGGTGATTTTGGAGCTGGATTGCTGGCTGATGGATGGTCACAGGTGGATGAAATCACTCTGGATGGTGAGGGCAGAGTCTGATAAATAATCTGATGTGTGAATAATGTTGCTGTTTTAATCCTTTGCTGGAATATGAAGGCCAAAAAGCAGAGCAATAATATCAGGATTTTAGGTGATTTTCTGAGCCAAATTACTCACATGATGACGTCACACTAGCTAGGTAGGGCACACTAGCTAGTTAGGGCCGGGTATTCTGAATGGTCTGATATGTGTATCAGGTCTGTAGCTTAAACCGTTCTGAAGTTATGAAGGCTAGAATTTACGTACTGTTTTGCCCACAAGTTGCGGGCTTCAGGTTCTAAGTGTTAAATAAAATTATATGAAGATTTTTGCCAACAACTAACTTCTGCAATAACAATTTTTCAGCAAACTAATCATTCTGTACATGGCAATATGTTTATTTACAGAGAAAAGATTTTTAGACAAAAAAAATACCTGATATGACATTTTTCATGTTAGTCCCTTATCTTACTTTAATACGTAATTTATTACCAGTTTTATCTGTATGTGTATGCCTGGTGGGAGTGTCTCAAGTGGGAGGAGGGGGATTGAGTGTAGAGGTCTTAATCTGGCCTTGTGCCTCGGCCTAATTTTTTTATAAAGCTGCTGTGTCACAATATCTATGGTATAAAGTGCTATATGAATAAAATTGAAAAGAATTCAATAAACCAGCTAAAATATCTCCTGTACCTGTGACTGAGCTGGGATCCCCGCAGGCTGGACACAGTATCTTCAAGGTTCTGCCGAAGGTCAAAGACATTTTGAACTGTACGCTTCCTCTGAGAATCTGGATCTGCAGATGAGGAAGAGAGAAAAGGTCTGTTATCACTGAGAACTAACAAATGCATATACACTACCTCATAAAAGTTTGTTAACAGTTTTAATCAGTAATATAAAGTGCAAAACCAGTCACGATAGAATTAAAATCCAGAATGCCTTGTATTTGCAATGAGGTAATGAAATCTCAAGGCACGTTGCTAAAAATGACTATAAAGAGGAAAATTACAGTGTATTATTAATTGATATCATTCGTAAAATACTTCTAAAACAACTAAAGCCACCTTTCAGTATTTAACCAAAACATTTTAGTGGTAGTGTATAAAGAACACTTATTTTTAACCATACAAAGCTACATCTCGCTCTTTAGCGACATATAGCTCAGCAAGTGCATAGATTTTCTAGCAGCACTTCAACATACTAAACATTCTGCAGCAATGTTTCCATTCTGAACAGTGTATAGATGAATTTCCTTGTTAAAAATGTATGTTGCTATGTATGTTAGTTTTATAAACTTAAAATTTAACCCCTTACCAGTACACAGCTGACATACTTTCATATGAAATATGAAAAAATAACTCCTGAATCAGGGCTCTTCAAGCACAGATCAGGTTCTTTACTGATACTCAGTAATAATGCAAAAGTAATTTTGTAAATCTATAGTGATGTAAGGCACACTGTAGTGATGTTTGCACATCTTCTCTTATCCTTTTACCAATTCATTTCAAAGGGTAACAAAACTATACCCTGAATGTTCACAACCTCTTCTAAACTTTTGTATATCCGTCACAAACTTCACATTATCCTCCACCACTTTAAAATACCTATTTCTGATGTTTCAGACCTCCCACTAAGCACTAAACAGTGCCCCATTCTCACATATACCCTTTGGTGTCTTAAGCCACTGACCTGTCCTATCAGTAATGATTCAAGCTTAATGTGTGTATTATAATACAGGAAACAATTATAAACTAGGTGTAATCAAACTCAATCTTTTCTTCTGTATATTATGTTGAGTCTCAAGGTCCACTCTCTTTTTTTGTCTGTCAGTCTATCTGCCCTGCGATGAACTGGCGACCTGTCCAGGGTGTATCCTGCCTTCCGCCCAATGACTACAAGAATAGGCTCTAGCTCCCCCCACAACCCAGAAGGATAAGCAACTTAGAAAATGTGTGTGTGTGTGTGTGTCTGTCTGACGGTCTCTGCCTCATTGTTATATAATAGATAAGATAAGGATAATCCATCTTATGATTCCAGAAATTAGAAGAAGATCTGAAATTAGTAGGAAAAAGATAAGTGAGAAAGTGGAAGGTGAATGACCAGGTTGATATGAATGGATCTGTTGTACTGAGAAGGTGCACATATCTGATTTGCCTCAATTAGCATTACAATTTCCTGAACAAAAACATGGTGATGTGATGCAAATCTTAACACCCTGTTGTAAAACACAACTCAATCCAAAGTCTCAAAAAAGCTACTCAGACCATGCTATATAAATATAAATATAAATATAAATATACTGCAACAAATGATTTTTCTGTTTGTTGTGCATAAATCATTTCAACTGGCAGGGGCATCAGTGCAAGGCTTCCTACTGGGATCTAGCACTGCTACCCACTCACTCCCTGATGGGCCACTCCAGCTGGCTGATGTTAGCATGACCTCCACTATCCTTTTCTCTGTCAACTAAAAGCTACAATCTATTGTCCAGTCTAGTGATATTCGCCTAATGGTGAGGAATAAGACACATCATGATTACAGTTAATAAAGGTCTACAGCATGGTGTATGAGCTAAAAAACTCACCAGAGGTGCAGGGCAATTGTTAGTGGCAATAATGGTGATACCTAGAGTTATCAAGCCCAAAAGCTTGAATTGTTGAACAATATTTATATAACAACAAAAAAGCCTTCTAGCCTTGCCTTGAACTCATTTTGAGTTCCATCCCATACGAATTTCTATATGGCCTGTAAAAAAAGTGAAATGTTTTGCAGGAAACATTTGCATATAATTATATGATACAACTATGCTTTGTTCCACAGTATGGATTGCTTACACAAAACAGCATGTGAACCTAGACTGTTTCCAGCTTTGCTGGATTCTGAAGAGAGCAGTACTCAATGCCCAAGAGTTCCATTTGTTCCCTGTGCAACTCCCATAAAAGAAAGCTTATGTGATGTTGGACACACATGAATTGGCCATTAATACAACAATTTTCATCTCGGTTTTGAGCAAGGGGCATCAAGAACTACTAATTATGTCAACTATAATGTCATATTTTTCTATCATCTTGTTCTAGAATTTCCTTCTCCTCTGTTTTTGCAGGGAGATCTATATGAGGTCATTAAGTGCCCTTTGCAATTATCTTTATCTGTGTCCAGTCAAGCATTGCGGAGTGTCATTGCTGATGCTCTTTAGTCACATTCAGTTCATTAAATAATCATTAGGTTATTCTCTCAAGGTTTAACCATTTTAACCATTTTACCAGCCTTTGCTCTGTTTAAAAGCACTTTAACACTCTACAAACATCCTTGCACATGTAAGATGAAGGAGTCATCATCTCAAGTAACACAAACAAATACTGCTTCAAAGCACGGCAGCTCTGGACGCCACAACAGATTTTAAAAATGCCACAACAGATTCCTAAATAGCCCTGAACTGAGAAGGACCCAGCTGCAGACAAGACAAGTGGATGAGAGAATTAGAGATGCAGATGTTCACCCTGCACTACTAGCCTGTTCCCAAAGGGCAGAACAAATGAATCAAAGCTAGCTGGTTAAGCTGCATGTCTGTGGAAGGATGGCGGTGATGGGGGGAGGGTTAATACATCTGCCCTCTGCCCCCTCTTCACCCCCTACTCCCCAGAATCCAGACTTCTCAGTAAAACTCATGTCTGCTGACTTGGCTAAGCTTAAGGAGTCACCAACTCAAGTGCCATAAACTTTCAATACTACTGTCAGACAGTACTATGAAAGACTTAGGAGACTTACAAAGACTAAAGGAGAGGTCAGGATGTTAGGAGCAAAGTCCTCCTACTAAACGTTTAGAGCATAATAAGTACATAGAGAAGCTATTATAGTTCAGACACAATCTACTGTGGTCATCACCACTCCAAGTTTTTCTTGGAGGATGGGTGCTGAGAGGAAACTGTGGGACTAAGCCATGAGGACAAGTTGAGTAGAGGAGAGAGACACACAGAGATAAAGAAAGAGAATAGAGCTTGCCCTAAAATGGATCAACAGATTCACAAGGCAATTAAGGCAATCCTGCAGTCAATGTAAAACTGTGCATAGCTCCACTAACCTCTACAAATAATGATCCACTCTAGTCCAATTAATTACACAATACTGAAAAACATGACAGGTTCAACTAGGCTTCAAATAAGTAATGTTTGGTAATAAAAAATCGTCAGAACTGAAGCAGTACATGTTGTAAATGTAGTGTTAAGAACAAAGAGCCAAATTAACTAAAAACTGACTGATTGGTATGCAGTTTACATACCATTTAAGCTAGGTAGCACAATGACTAACACAACTGACACTCATGTTTTAAAGGAATGTGATCTGTAACTTACTAAAATGTTGAGTCTATTGTGCCTAAGTCAGTTAACATGTGACTCAAATGTGTCTCGAGTCTAAGTCGCTGACACCAGTCATCATCTCTGGTTCTGTATCTAGTTTATAAAAAAAAAAAATAGAACTTTAATAGACATAGTGTCTCTAATATCACAATGTCTGAGGACCAGGTGGTGACCTTAGTAAAATGAAAAACAGGAAGACCCACACACGTGCTCAAAGACACATAGTAACATAAACACACAAACACTCACACACACTCACACAGCACATCTGGTGTGCAAAGGAACTCTTGCACAACAGCTGAGTAACCGGGAGTCCCTTTGGTCATGTGGTAGAAGACACATTTGAGGAAATGAGAACTGGGACAAATATCCTTCTAAAATCACACTGATATCCTGAAAATAATTACAGAAAAAAAGGTGAATTGTCTGTTCCAAAACATCAGGAAGGTGGCCTATCTTTCACATTATAAACACCTGACAGTGTTTAAAAGGAAAAAAATGAATGTATATGCCTATTCTTGTTTGATCTAACACACTTTCACATTCTCAAGGACATGCCCTTCCATCCCTTTTCTAAAAAAAACTTGTCTGCATTCTGTGAGCCTCAACACAAGCAATAGAAATAGAAAAAAGACGTAAGTGATCTAAAACAGTACAAATGAGGAGGGTCTTGAATGAGTTGAAAAATAAAATCCACTTTTAAAGAGTAAAAAAAAGCAAGACAGTCCTCTTCAAGCATTCTCTTTTAGTTCAGTGAAAAAGAAAAGATGACCTAAAAAATCTGATGAAAGATGAGTGGGTGAAAAAAGAGAAGCTTTTTCCAGTTCACTAACCTACAGACAGTAGAGGACTGAAGAAAAATTCAGAGCATTGAAACATCCCTATAAGCCCAGGAGCAAAAAATATGAGCAATGTCTAAACATATGCAGGCTTTGTAACTCTTGGTATAACACAATAAACTCTGCAACAGTACAGCTACAACTAATGAAAATCTTCAGATACCCAGGCAGACAGATGCAGAGAGCATGAGTACACTTAGAAAGCATTTGGGCCATCTAATCTTGAACCATGTATCAGTAAAGAACTGTTAAAGTTTATCCTGTGGAGATAATATTGTTTACTGCTAAGGAAACACCAACCAACACTTTGTCATGATTCTGAAGCAGGAAAAGGAAGGGTGGCACAGCACGCTGACGAACAAAAACATCAAAAGTTTGGATTATCCTTAGGCAAGAATAGCTCCAAATAACTTTAAGCCTCAAAACAGCTGTGAGGCCAAAGGCTGAGAAGAAAACATAAACGAACATGCTTGTTTTTTTTAAACAAGGCTTGTCCAGTCTTCTCCTCAGAAGAAGCTGGAGAGGTCTGTTGCAAACTTGAAATGCTGACAGATCTACCATTTGATGTGACAACGCTGAACAGCAGACGCTGTGCCCAT